CCTACCCTCGTGTGCCTTCGTCCTCCCACCACGTACTATATATATATATATATATATATATACATACACACATCGATTACGATAAATTTGAATTTTAAAATAAAACGCAAAACTATCAACACTTACATATCTATTAAAAGACTGTTGTATCCCCCTTATTCGACACGTCTGAGCACCCAAATTTAGTCATGTGACATTCTTCCTTCACTATACCTCCAACACAATGGAGCTCGACAGGCACGGCCGTGATTGACAGCGATCTCTCAGGTTATACTATAATAGAGCCCACTAGTATAAACTTAGAACATCAGTCACATCTACTAAGTAATTATAGTTATTTACTGTTATGAATATTAAAACAAAAATATTCCACTCGCTCTTCAAAGTATCTACATGTTTATGGTGGTTGTACTTTCAAAATATTAGTACGATGGTGTGCACATTATAAATTATTGTTACCGTTTTCAACATGTTAATTGGCCAGGCTTTCTTAAGTGTCCAATTTGATGTCGCCAGTGTTCTGGGGCAAATTTCTCTGAGTACATAACTTATACAAGCATATAATAATTTCTAAATGATGGACGATGGACAGAGCTTTCCAAACATATATAATATGTTGAGTTTGTGTTAAGTTTTTCCAGAAACCAAGGAAATAAACAATGGTGGGGTGTTAAAAGCAGCAGGTCGTAAGCAGAAAAATGTAATTTCAAAGCAATAATACAAACACAAAAATTGTAAGGATAACTCAAGCCTTTATTGTGATTAGTTAGTAAACATTTATGTTTTGAAAATTTGTTATTAGCTGATACTCCCATTACCTTTTCACATAGAAAAGTATCCAAAATAACATGTCGCCGTAATCATGTGTTCTCCTTTACGGTTGTTTATTTTCAATACACTAATTACAAATTTTTGAGTGAATAAAAAGATTAGATTTGATCACACCCCATATTCAGGGTATCAAGAGATATTTTGGGTATGTCCATTTGGAGCTTGTAATAAAATTAGTTTTTTAAGCATATTGTAGATACTCAAATTATGTTATATCGTTATACACAACAGCCAACACATTTGTTGTTATCAATAACTGAAAGGATAAGAGTAAATTGCATTATTCAATAAAAATCACTGAACATGAAATTGCATGTACTCCCTTCCTTACGTGATCTCCTTTTCTTCAGTTTTTCTTCAGAGGAGAATATATATAGAAGTGCATAATGCTTTTCCCGCCATATTTAGTTTCCACTGGTGTGTATCTCTTTAACTGTATAACTAACATTCACATGGTGTGAGTTTTAGGTTTATATGACTGATAAATTACAAAGCTAAATCTGTGAGCGATAATTAGGGGTCTATTTATAAAAGCAGATAATTGGGGACATGGTCAGATGCATGTAAAGGAGATCACCATATTAATTCAACCCCTTATATATGCTTTGTATTTCTTAGTATAATGTCACATTATAATAAAAGCTTACTTTTATGATCTGTGGAAGTAATCTAATACAAAATAACTATTCATATTGGCCTGCTATATCTGGATTTACTGTACAAATGTAAAGCAGATCACATTACTTTCTACACCTGTCTTTGCTAATATAGAGGTTGTATGTACTTCCGTGATGGGTTTCATATTTGTATTTTTAGAATGGATGGTAAACAAAGTCAGCAGTTGAAATATTATCACAGAAAAAAGGCAGCAGAAGGGAAAAACTTCTTACAATTTGTTTGCTGTTTTGCCCTTTTTATTCTAGGTACAATATAATCTGGTAAAGGAGAAGACATGTGAAAAACAGTAGTCATCTTCATCAAGGTGGGAAAATATGTAGCCTGAGTGTTAGATTTTTGGCACAACGTTTTTCAGTAGTAATATTTTCAAGAACTGTATATCTCATACTTATTTTATCAACATTTTGCAGTTGAAAAATGGACACTTAAAAAAGCCTGGCCCTAATAAACCTATGAAGCCTTGCCACATTGTTTTTTTTTTTGCTTTTTTTTTCACTCAATGCACATTTAAAGTGGATATAATTCACAACCTAACTTTAACAGGATGTGGTTGAATTTATTTCCCATTATAAACGTGTAATCCAGTATCAATACCAATATAATTTATGTTTTATTTTGTCAATTGGTGTACAAAAACTTATCCAAGCCCAAGATTACATTTCTCAGGGAGAATGGGTGGTGATGAGGGCCGAAAACTCAAGCCCACAGTTACTCTCCGCTCTTTACCGAACAATGGGTCATATGTATTTTGCAAGGAATCTAATCTCATCTGCTCAATATGCTTTTGCAGAGCACGTAAGTGAAAAATATAATATGAAAATTAAGACAAATAAATAATATGTGATTTACTTTTCTGTTCACTTTCCTATTATCTTCATAAATAAGATTAAATTCAAATGTTATTATAATAAGTATGTGATACATTTTGTACTGACTTGTAAGACAACAAATACATTGTTTTTACAAATCTGATAAATCAGGTGATGATTTTTTTTTACTACAGAATATCAATTCATTTTCTTTATTATTTTACTTGTTGATATAGGTGTTTAATGAGAAGTTAATTCATAAAATCTAACTAAAATGTATGTGCCTGTCTGGCAACAAAATGACATCACTTATATTTGTTGCTCATTGGTATAGTGTAAAATATTTTTCACTTTTCTCATGCATTGAAATAATATTGTAGATTTAAAGAACGTTGACCATCACTGCTAGTTTAATCTTTATGATACTTAACTGGTTCTTGCCTGATAATCAACTTCTTTATCAGTAATATTTGCTGTATCTATACAGTGCTTCTACTTGATATAGTTTCCATTTTATAAATATATTTTTGCTTCACCTGTATGTGATTTTATTATTTTTTCCTTGAAATTCCCCGATGTCACTCCCTTACTTTGTGTTAAAAAACAAACTCTCTTTAAGTTGGACTAAAAAACCATTTATCAGCTATTTTCTGTCAAACGTAGTAACATAATATATCATGAGAGTTCTGGTCCACCCATCCACTGAGACTTGCATGCAACCCATTAGTAGGTCTCAGTGGCCTAAGATAGAAACATTGTATATCTGAGAACCAGCCCTGGCACCCCTTCCTCCAGTAACACAGAAATGTATATAGCCTCTCCAACCCTGGTCTATACCGTTGGTAGCCATGGAGAACGCCCGAGGACAACCCACTCTCCTCAGCGCCTCTCTGGCTTTCCTATGGTAATTCTTATCATAGAGATTTAAGTAGGTCTCAGAGTGTTCCTAGAGGAACACAGTATCAAAGTTAAACAACATCAATTAACAAGAGCATATGTGCATGAACACTAGCACTTGGGTAGTGTGAGTGTTAACTTCAATTGCACTGACGTAACCTGCGACGGGAACACCCTCACAGTCACCCATATGGAGCTTGTATACCAAATGTGAAATTGGTGCTTATAACTAGTGGCCATGAACATGCCTCTCAATGAATAAACCTCAATCCACATGTACATGAAATTAAGTACTGTGCTCTGTACACAAAAAGTATTGGAAATGCATTCCAAAATAAAGCATCAACTGTGGTTGGTGGTGTTTTACTTTTGAAACTTTGTTTACAGGCATTCCTACATGAAGGGCAGCCCAACACACAGTACACATAGCTTAGCTGGACTCTTGCTAGTACATAGGCACAATGTTGTTTGTGACAAACGTGCCTTGTAGCTGCTTTCTTGGCTGACGTTTCTCTGAAAAGGAAAGCTCCAGTTGCCCAACAGTTTAGCAATTTCACGAAATTTCTTGCATAGGAATAATGGAAGATAGTAGGTGTCCCGAAACAGCTGTAGTAATGGAATGGTTGTATCCCTTTCTGAGGTACCTAATAACGATATACACATTTGAGGTCAATGGCACTGTATAGAGGGTACAGGTGTTGAGATCTACAGTGTTTCTTTGCCAGGCCACTGGAATCTGTTGGGAAGGGGACAGTCTCAGGAGGTTGGTGGTCCAGAATCTCCCATTGTATATACTTCTGATGTGTTACCTTTCCAACACCTATGATAGTGCAACGAAATATCATCTGAAAACAACTTGCAACAGATAAATATATAAAACAAAACAATTTGGATAAACATTGAACATTCTTTTAGAAATGCAAGCCAGGTGATACAGCAGGTTGTATTTTGACAAGCTACTTTTTGGGAAAATTCTTTGTATGATTCTTATAAATATTTTTTTTATTACATTTAACTGTACAAATATATAATTATATATAGTGGTATATAATATTTTGTAGATATACCAATGTACAAAATCCAATGAAGATAAGATGACTATTCATTGTGCCACAGGCTGTTTCCATTTGGGTTTAGTCTTACAGAAACTTGATAACATAGATGGACAGTTAGCTCTTTTTCAAAAAGTAAGTATCTTACTAAAGTTGTTTATGTAGTATTCAAGAAGTAAGATTTAAGTTAATGAATGCTATAAACTTGTTCATACAGCCACCATGAAGAAAGTAATTTATTTTGATTGCAGATGCTTGGTGTTTATTGAATTTGGGGTTTGCGATATAGAACTGTTGTAAGCTTCATGAAATCACATGCAACATGAAGTTAAATGCAAGCCCAAAGAAATTTTACTAGCTGTGATTGATTTCGTAATCCAAATGAACAGGAATAGGTGAGAAAACAACTGAGACAAATGCTGTTAATAATCGGTGAATAAACACAATACATTGTATACTGAGTGCTAGTACTACAGTTTGTAACAGTAACAAGAAAATGGGACAGAACAGCAAAGTCTGAAAGCATTAATTGTAGTTTAGTGAAGATAAAAAGACGAACATAATCCAAGAAAAACAAAGAATTTCCTTGCACTATGCAGAACTGCATGCATATATACACATACTCATGCACATGCACATGTGTACATTTATCTTTTCACTTCATACATATACATATATATATATATATATATATATACACACATTCACATAAATTTTTGTCACCATAAATTTTGGTATTTTATTTTTAAACTCTAGAGTACTAGTTATCATTTAAACTTCAGAAACATGACAATACACATAATCCTTCTTACATATTCTTACAATCAAAGTTTCTTCAACAACTTAAATATTTTAGTTTGTCAATTTTATTATTTTTACATCATCACAATTTTGAAATAATAATGATTTGAAACTAACTCATATGCTTCTTTAGGTGTGTCATATTGATGTTCATTTCAAATGTTCTCTGTTTGATAAACCTTTGTGTTATCAATCCTTTTGTTCCAACTGAGGAAAAGAAAAAGTTCCCCACTGGAAATGATATGAACCTTGAAAAATTTATGTTTATTAGTACCATTCGTTGTGGTACAAGCCCCCCCCCCCAAGTTTCATTTAAAAGTTATGGATCGTGAAACTGTTTTTTTATCTTATCACTGTTTAGTGATATGAATGTCTTTGGTCTTTTGTCACGAGAAGATGTCCTAATTTTAGTAGCTGTTCATTTTTGTTGTGTGAAAACAAAACAGCAATAGGAACTTCACAAATAAACTGTTCTAATCATCAAAGCCTGTGTTGTTATTTTAAACAGTTGTGTACTGTCTTATTATTTTACATGTCTGTTTGACTTATTTCTTCTGTACAACTTATTCTATCATTCTTGCAGTTTTGTTTGTTTGTTGTTAAGCACAAAGCTGCACAATTATGATTGAATCCTGAACTTTAGCATTATAAACTCTCAAGCTTACTTCTGAGTCTACAGTTGTTGCATTATTTTTCACTTTTCTGTTAGTGAACACTTTTATCAACAAATATTATATACATAAAAATAAAAACAAAATTTTCCAATATCCAGATCTTTACTTTACTGATGAACTTTAGATATATCATTGTTGCAGGTTTACATAAGACTAATAAGTTGGTATCCAGGTATCATTAGATATAACTGATATGAATTAGAAAATGCTTTGCAATTGTCTTAATACAGTTTTTACTTATTTCAAACTGTGCAATTTTGGGAATAGTATTGTTGCGTCAGCGAGATCACCTGACTATTCTCACGCCCTCTGCTTTCTAGAACTATCCTGTACTTTGGCGAATGCTCTAGCATTTACTAGATATAGGGTAGTCTAGTATATAAAAGAGGGTGACAACGTGACAGAATTAATGTGTGTGTGTGTGTAGATAGTGAGTAATTGAACTGCAGTCAGAAGTATTGTTGACGTTCGTTGATATAGCGTTTGTTATAGAGCGACTGTTGAAAATAAGTGTATCGTAAAGTTGTATTTGGAAAGAATAAACCAGTTTTATTAAGTAAGGACTTGTGTCGCTAAAGTTTCGTCGGAACGAAGTTACGGAAAGTTAATTAACAAACGGAGACGTAACAGTATATTAAAACGAATTTGTGTTTAAAACGAAGACGGTGTGTATCAATCTTGTTGGCAAATAACGTAAATTGACTAAAATATCGGCATATATTTAAATACTAAATCCAGAGTACAATTTAACTACTAAATTTAAATTATCAGTTAACTCGGCTTTGGACTATTCGAAATTCTAATACGAAACACTTCCCAGTTACAATGTTTAAACCACGTGTCACTTTAATACCTGAGACCTCGATCTCCCGTATAATTAACCATACAGTTCAATTAGAAACCGAATTTTCAAACCTCTGTTTCTTCAGATTCAAATTACTATTGTATTAAAAATGCTAACCCTTCAACAGTATTTTTTAGCGTAACAAAGCTCTAAGCCTATTTTATCAACCCCCGACGGATCGAGCACCTAAGTCATTCTAAGTCACAACTAATTCACGTGCCTATCGTGATTCCACGAGAACAACGACTTAGGGTTAACAAAATTGGAATCGGAGTATTGCAACAGTTAAGGTTAAAATAAAAAACTTTCTCTTGGTAAAATGTGATAAAGTAACCACAAAAATGTATAAGTAAATCTTGGGTGAAAGACAGATAATTAGTTCTAGAGAAGAGAGTTCAACAAGCACACTAATACAGAAACTAAAACCAACGTTTAATTAGAGCCCAATCCTAAGTGAGGAACTACTAAGACTTGATAGTTCCTTGTATATAAACACTTTCTGTACCAATTACTACGTAGCAGACGAGCAACTAATTATACTGGCGTATATTATCAGTACACATTAGGGTTAGTATATTTTGTCCATATGTAAAGGACATAATTCTGAAGTTGTTGCCGGTTATTACCTAGCTGGTCTTAATTCACAGCAATCAGGCTCACGCACAAAATGAGCAACTGGAGATAGATAATTAGGGTAATATAGCGGCTGAATGACGTCATAGTAAGTCTTTAGGGAGGGAGGGTGTAGTGCTAATTGTGGTGTTGTGATACTTTTATCACATTATCTACTGTCAAGTGTCAACTCGACGTTATGACATACTCCGTGTTGGGGGTTGGAGGGAGGTTTGAGATGAAGAGGCATTATTCTACATTTGCCTATATTTACTTAAATAAAAATTCCTATATTTACACCCAAAATAAGTTTACTTGGTTATTAAATAAATTATCATTTATCAGTCTTAATTGTGTTGAGATAGAACTAAGGAATCCTTCGACACAGGTATTCATGTTTGTCACATCCCACGTCACGTTAGTTGTCCTCGGTTATTAAAACAAGTTATGACTAGACCTTACGGCTAAATATTGGAAACAAACAGGCTTAAAGATTGTTATAAGAACTAGTTGACTACGTTTAAACTATAACGTTTTAAAATATTATAGCATCTTTTGTCTCGCATCGTCCAGCCAACAGATGTGTTTTGGTATTTAAAGAAAGGCTTATTTAGCAGTAATTTGTAGGAGACAAAAGATCTGAAATGCTATTTTTTTTACTCTGAATTAGAGTAGCAATTGACAAGAGGTTTTGTTTTGATTGCTTGAAAGCAAAGCCACATTGGGCTATCTGCTGCGTCCACCTCGCAGGAATCGCACCCCGGATTCTACCGTTGTAAGTCTCACCGGGGGACCAAATCAATAGGAAAGTGGATAAAACACACCCTTGTTTAATTTTGTGTTCTTCTGTTAGCATACTTTGTCCAAAGGACATGTTAGATAAACCACATCTGTGTTTGATTTTTTTTGTATATTTCGTCCAAAGGACATGTTTGATAAAACACCTCTGTGTTTGATTTTGTGTTGCTTTTGTTAGTCCAAAAGACATCTTTAATAAAACACCTCTGTGTTTGATTTTGTGTTGTTATTGTTCGTCCGAAGGACATGCTTGTTTCTTATTAGAATTTAAACGAACTCTATTCATCTGATGCTGTTGCCATGGCATCTTGAGTAAGTGCTCCTTTAACCCAGTTTATAAAGATTTTCAATATCTACGTTATTCACAAGCCCGATATTAAATCACGCTATTCCAAGTTATCTGAATTTGATGACTCATGTACTGAATCTTGTATTAGGTTTAAATTTTCCATGATTTACCTTTCTTGGGGCGTATGGATGTCACAATTCACTAAGGTAAGAACTTGTTTAATAACTTAATGGAGTTTGTGTCTAGTACATATAGTGTTGTGAGTATTAATAATTTAATGGAGTTTGTGTCTAGTACATACAGTGTTGTGATTATTAATAATTTAATGGAGTTTGTGTCTAGTACATACAGTGTTGTGAGTATTAATAATTTAATGGAGTTTGGGTCTAGTACATACAGTGTTGTGAGTATTAATAATTTAATGGAGTTTGTGTCTAGTACATATAGTATCGTGATTATTAATAATTTAATGGAGTTTGTGTCTAGTACATACAGTGTTGTGAGTATTA